AAAAAAAAAAAAGAAAAAAAACTTTGGTGGGTGGCTGGGCAGTGGCGCACACCTGTAATCCCAGCACTTTGGGAGGCCAAGGTGGGTGGATCACTTGAGATTAGGAGTTTGAGATCAGCCTGGCCAACATGGTGAAACCTCGTCTCCATTAAAAATACAAAAATTAGCCGGGTGTGGTGGCCTGTGCCTGTAATCCTAGCTACTCAGGAGGCGGAGGCAGGAGGATCACTTGAACCTGGGAGGCAGAGGCTGCAGTGAGCCAAGATTGCACCACTGCACTCCAGCTTTGGCAACAGAGTGAGAAAACCTGGGTGGATGAGAGGACCATTTTTCTGAGATGCAGAAGATTGAGGCAGACACAGATGTGAATGCGGAAGATTGAGGGCCCAGGCATACCTATTTGAGTGTATGATGTCTTCTGGAACTCAGGCTATCATTTGAGCCTAACACTAGGCTCTCTGCGCCCTATACTCTTAGTAGTACTGGTAAATATTGGTTGTGTGAACAGTGCATGCTGTCTGTAGGGACAGACCTGGGTTAAGGGGCCAGTGCCCTCACTAGTAATTATTCTGGGACTGTTCTGCCTCCATCTTCTACCTCACAGGATTAGAATTAAACGTGATCTATTTATGCCACCTGGAACATGTATGAACTAAAACATCCCCTCTTCTGAGTTCCAGGCATTATGTGACATGTCGTGAGGTTGCCCTCTTTTCCTCTCACCCACATTTTCTTTCTTTTCTTTTTTTTTTTTTTAGGCAGAGCCCTGCTCTGTTGCCCAGGCTGGAGTGCTATTGAGCCTTGCAACCTCCGCCTCCTGAGTTCAAGCTAGTCTCCTGCCTCAGCCTCCCGAGTAGCTGGGATTACAGGAGCGCACCACCACGCCTGGCTAATTTTTGTATTTTTAGTAGAGACAGCGTTTCACCATGTTGGCCAGGCTGGTCTCGAACTTCTGACCTCAGGTGATCTGCCCGCCTCGGCCTCCCAAAGTGCTGGGATTACAAGCAAGCATGAGCCACTGTACCCAGCCACCCACATTTTCAAAGTCTCTCCAAAACAGCCCTGCTCCTGGCAGCACTGGGGGGTCATCCCCTCTCCCCTCCCTCAGCCCTTCCGCAGCCTCAAAGAAAACAGAATGGAGAACAGCAGACAGGTTGATTCATAGACTTTATCGGCTTCTTTTCCATCCAGCAGTTTCTGCAATGACAACCGCGCCTATACAATACACATGGTGCACTCTGTTAAAGCTGCAGGGCAAGGGGAGGGGGTTGGGGGGGTCCCTGGGCAGGCATCAAGGTTAGGGGTGAGCAGCAGCAAAGACTGGGCCAGTGTGTCCCAGTATTCGACCCAGAGGGTGGTGGCAGCTGGAGTTCCAAGGCTGCTGGAAGGGGTCAGGAGGAAGGCTGGGAAGCTGGGGGCTTCAGGGAGAGGAGAGTGCATCAGCAGTAGCAGGGAGGGGGCAGGGAACAGGAGGGGGCCCATGGGACACTGTCAGGGCAAGAGGGCATGGGGCACAGCGCCTGCCTATGTTCATAGAGGATTTTTGCCGCAGGAACAAGACAGATCACTGTATAAAAGGGTCTGTACAACATTACCTATGATACAATGTTCACATATGATACAAGGCTCTTTCCCTCTTTGAGTTTTAAAAAATAAATGTACAATTCCAGAACTTTGGGTAAAAAATATATACACCCTCATAGCAGGAACAGCAGCTGCTTTTGCTACTGCTATTGCTGCCTCTTCAAAAGGGAAAGAGGTGGTGCCAGAAAGAAGGGTGAGGCTGTGCCAGGAAACCTCACCCAGTAGCTGCCAGGAGCCCCTGCACCCCTCAGGCCTTGAGGCTGGTGATGGGAGGGAGGGGAGCAGAGGTAATAAAGGCCTTGCCAGAGTCCGGTGGCGCCTTTACAGTCTCCGCCATGCCCCTCCCCCACTTTGGGGCTGCCTGCCCCAGGTATAGGGATCCACCCCACCCCAGCTCTATGGGGAGGACAAAGGAGGAGTCAAGACAGGGAGAGGGACAGAGACCATGTTGTTGGTGTCAGACACATGAGTCAGAAGGGGGATGCCAACTCCCTCCTTAGCAGTTAGATACCCCAAAACGCAGGAATGTGGGCAGCAGACACCCCTAGCTCCTGATACTGCTCTACCCCAGCCCACTGCAAGGCAGGGGGAGGGTCCTCTAGGCAGCTGAGGCCTGTGTTTCCCTGAGCATCTTTTACCCTCTCATCAGAGTCCATTCCCGGACCTTCCAGAGGCCTGAGTGGGGGACTTGCAAGGGCTGATGGGTAACCCCTCCTACCTGCTGCCACTCCCTGCCCTGAAAAGCAGCTTGGCTCACCAGCCTGGGCATGCAGGGCAGCATGAGGAGCTGAGCAGGGAGTGTGGGGGTGGAGAAAGCACCCCGTACCATCCAGGGGCAGAGTAGACAAGGGTAGCACCAAACAGAAGGACCCCTCCCCAGTACACCCAACATCCGCCCTCAATTACCAGATGCACTCCTGCTCCCTAAAAGGAGACATACACACACACACACACACACACACAGCAACATAATATTCCTTGGGGTCCCAGCCCTGACCAGGAAGAAGCTGGACAGGTGGTGGAGAAGGCTGCCAATCCCTCCCACAATCCCACTCTGCAAGACACAAGGGTGGGCGGCATTCTCTCCTGCTGGGAAGAGGAAGTTGGAAGCTCCATCCCCAGAACAGATCTTGATGGGAGGGATAGAGGAAGGAGCTTTCTGCCCCCTTTCTCAGAGGGGACAGGAACCAGCCAAGTGTAGTTTTGGCTTGAAGGAGCAATGGGGAGAGGACTTCAGCAGGATGAACAGACTTATGGGTCCAGGGGTAAATCCATCCAACTCTTTCCCGTGGAGCAGTAAGTTGCTCCACGGGAAAGATGTCAGATGTTGGTTGAGACATCGTGCAAAGTGCTTGAGTGCCAGGTGCCCAAGGATCTGGGGGGTCTGACTGGAGCCTCCACTCTCACTGACTATTCGCCTCCAGCTTATAGGAGAGCTCAAAGAGGAGGTTCTGGTTGTCGATGACCTGAAACTGGCGCACGTAGGCCTTGGTCTGCAGGTGATGGGGGGATGCCTCCATGTCCAAGCCTAGTGGGTAAAGAGGGAGAAGCAGTCAGGTTCCCAGCCTCCCTCTTTCCTCTACATACACACTGGGCAGAGGATCAGGCTGTGGACTGAGACAGATGTTGGGCAAGAAGGCCTCTGCAGAGGCAAGGAGAGAATGGGGAACCAGCAAGTGTATGGAAATACACATTTGGACAGGGAGTTCTGCCCTGAACCCTCCCATTCAGTCAAAGCTCTACCTGTACTGCTTTCAGTACCCTGGGTACTCACAAAGGGGCCGGCTCCGGTATTTGCGGATTGTTCTCACTTTTTCGGCCACTGAATGCTGGGAGATGACAAGGAATGAGCCCTGAAAGGGGCACAGAAAGAGTCTCCCCCTCTTACGCTCCCCCTCCGTCATTCTCCAACCCTGCTTTACTCCCTCCAGTCTCCAATTCTGGAGGGTCTCTGAAGGACCAAAGGAGTGGGTGTAACAGAGTGCCAGGTGAGGGGGAGGTGGAGTTGCCCCCAAGCTGCCTGTCAGCTCTGCCACCCGTGGGTGGGTTGCCACAGTGATGCCACCAGGGAGACAGTCAAGAGTCTGTTAGGCAAGCTGGGCACTTGGAGGAAGGCTGCTATTTTTGGGAGGTGATGAGAGAGGGAGAGGATGCAAGCCCCTCACTTGTGGGACTAGAGGTTTGCAGTGCCACTCACTCACCAGCTTCTCAATGTTCACCAAACCATCTACAAGGGTCTTACTCCCTTCGTGCAGAAAAGTCAGATCTAGGGGATGTGGAGAGAATCCAATGTGAGGAAAGGATAAGAGAGGAGGTCCAAAGGGGCCCCTGCACCTGAGGACCCCGCTCTTCCCCAGAACCCACTCTGTCTGGAGTGGGGGGCTCTTCTCCAGGCGGATACTCAGGGCTGAGTCGAGAGGGGGCTGGAAGTCTGAAGCGGGATATAGGAGAAGGGAAGCATGGGTGGAAGCAGCACAGCTTGGGAGTTACTCTCTCACCTTTGAGGATCAGAGGCACGAAGGGAATCACAGGGGGCTTCATTTTGGAGATCACTTCTCGGTAGCTTTTGTGGTTCCTGCAGGGGTCCTAGTATTCCACAGGCGAGAGATCAAGGGATAGACTGGCCAATGCGTCCCAAAGATGTCCCCAGCTTCCTCCCTCACCCCCTGCCCTGTATACATTCCTCATCAGATAGGGGTACTGGGGACTTTCTACTGGTGTGGTGGGGAGGGGACTGACTACTCCCCCTTTACTTCAAGAAACACAGGGGCGCAATCCTTCCGCCCTCCCCCTCCAGCATGGTAAGGAGGGTGGGGGTCGCACACACGCCCTAAGCACCTTGAAAGGAAAGCTTGAGGAAGGGGGTTTATGGGAACAGAGGGTTTCTGGGCTCTAAGTCCAAGAGCAGAAGAAAGAGCCAAACCCACTCACCGTCAGGTTCTCAAATTTGCGGAACAAGTTCTTGAATTTCCCTGGCAGCTTCTGCAGAGTTTGAAGGGAGGAGAAGGGATATCAGAGTGGAGCTCCTTGGGTTACACGGGAGCCTCGGATTAATTCTCCCTGTTGGAGCGCAAAAGGGCCTGCATGGCTTGTAGGGGGCTGGGAAGCTGGTGGGTGGGGAAATAAGTCAGGCCTTGGCTAAGTCTAGAAGCTTGAAACAGCCCAGAGGAATTCATTATTCTGGGGAAGGGCAGGTCTCTCTTACGCAGGTGCTTTGTACGAAGATGGCCCCACTGACTATGGCTGAAAATCAGCCCAACTCCCACAGCCAAGTCGGCGACCTGACCTGGCCAAGGGCTGCCTGCTGCGACTCAGGCGGGATCCTGGCTTTTCACTCATTTGCACAAAGACAGGGTCCATTAGCCAAGCTGTGCGCCCTGGGGTTGCATATGCCAGAAGAGGGCGCCTCTCTCCAACTGGCACAAAGACTCCCACCAGGCCAGCGGCCGTCCCGAGAGGATGCAATTCGGGGAGCCCGGGATGCCCAGATCCCCAGGTAGGAACGGGAGGGGTCTCATCACCTCCCAGGTGAGTCGAAGGCGACTGACAGCAGCGTTGTCCAGCCCCATGACCAAGGCGTAGAAAGACAGCAGATCCTGGTTCTGCTTGCAGCTGCGGGGGTGGGAGGCGGGGTCAGGGGCGGGCGGCGGCGCGGGCCTTGGGCCTGGGCTCCCCCTCCCGCCGACGGCCGCACTCACAGGGCCGCGATCTTGATGAACTTCTTGAGCAGCTGCGCGCGCTTGCCCGGGGCCTCGCAGAGCAGCACTTCGGTGGCCACCCAGTGCGTGACCTCGCTGCAGCGCTGCAGCAGCAGCTCCAGGTTGGCCGTCTCCCGGCGGCCACGCTCCCCGTGGAACACGTAGTCCACGAACTCCAGCTGCACCCACGGCAGCGGAGAGGCGGCCAGGGCGCCCGGCAGTGAGGGGAGTGGGTGGGAAGATGGCAGTGCAAGGCGATGAGGAGCGAAAGGCAGGAGGGCGGGGGCGGAAGGGGTGGAAAATAGAAAAATAGAAGGGACAGGAGGCGGCAAAGATGCAGAAAAAGAAAACAACCAGCATTAATAATATTTCACCAGCTACTGAGCACTTACTAGGTGCCAGGCAAGCGCTCACGGCTGACATCCTCAAGACAACCATCTGCTAGGCATTATTGTCTCTGCCTTATTTTATTTCTTTAATAGTGAATATTTTAAAAACACAAATCCTGGGTCAGGTTCTGTGTAAGCAGCACTTGGGCCCTGAGCCACTCTGCTCTGAGGTCTCTCTCTTTGCGATTTTTTTTCAGATGGGGGAACAAAGAGAGGTTACGGCCATGCGTTGCCCAAGGGCTTGCTGCAAGTGAGCCTTGAACCAGGACGTTGTGCTGCGAACACCGTCTCCCAATGGCACATTTCTCCCTCCAGCCCCCCAGCACAGCGCCAGCCTCGGTCCCCACCTCGTGCACACATCGGAACAGCTCCCAGTGGAAAGCAGTTAGGTGGTTGGCAACGTCCTCAGGCTCCACTCGGTGGATCTCCGTGTCTCCAGGGGAGACCTGGATCTCCTCGGGGAGGGGCACCTGGTGGCAGGCAGGGGTATAGGAACTGGGTTCCTGGTGGCAGGGTGAGGGATTGCTCACAGCCCGCCTCAGCCCTCCATTCCAGCCAAGGCCTTGGGAAGTTCTTACCAGAGCCTCATAGCTGTCCCGAGTACAGGCAAACAGGTGGCTATTGATGCCCAGTGTGGTGAAAACACAGTCCTCAGTGGGCTGGAGAAGGACCTTCTCTGCAGGAGAAAGAGCTGCTCATCCTCAGCCCCTGCTGCCTGGACCCTCACACACACCCCACACTTGGCTCTGTCCTATCCAAAAACTCCTCACCCCACACCGACACATTGTAGACTATTGGAACTCATACTATCACCAGTTTATGCCATATTTATCTGGAATTGGTCAAATGATGATTTCTTTTACATTTATAACTTTTTCTACTCCCTTTCTTTCACAGCTTTTCTCTTACTCTGTTGTCCTTGTGACACTGGGAAGGCTGAAATTTTTTTTACCGTAGAGGAAAACAAAGCTTCAGCGACATTGCTGGCTTTCTGCCTTCCCACTCATCCTGTGTCTTTAGCCTGAGAAATGTGGCATCCTTACATACACCGGGAGGTTAAAGGACCAGAACACAATCCATAGGTGAGTGAGGGGCAGCATCCAGGTCAGAACCTGAGTCCTAGACCAGGGCATCCCCAACTTTTTTTTTTTCTTTTTTTGAGACAGGGTTTTGCTCTTGTTGCCCAGACTGGAGCACAGTGTCACGATCTCGGCTCAATGCAACCTCCGCCTCTGCGGTTCAAGTAATTCTCCTGCCTCAGCCTCCCAAGTAGCTGGGATTACAGCTGCACGCTACCATGCCCAGCTAGTGCCTCCCAAACTTTAGTAGGCATAGGAGTCTCCTAGGGGTCTTGTTCAAATGCTGATTTGAATAAGACCAGCAGGTCTGGGGTGGGGTCTCATATGCTGCATCTCTTTTAGAGACAGAGTCTTGTTATGTTGCCCAGGATGGAGCACAGTGCCTATTCACAGGTGCAATCATAATGTACTACCTTGGATTCCTGGGCTCAAGCAATCCTCCTGAGTAGCTGGGACTGCAGGTTTGCACCACTGCACCTAGCAAGATGTTGCATCCTAACAAGCTCCCAGGCAATGCACATGAGGCTTGTCCCAGGACCATACTTTGAGTAGCAAAGGCCTAGAATTCAGTCTCTTCCCCTCCCACAGGGCACTGAGCTTGTGAGTTTCTCCTCTCGGAGCATCAGCCCAGTTCTTCCTGACCCTCACCTCCTGAGGAGGCCACAGCTACCAGGATGAGAGAATCCTCACGCCCCGCGGGCTCCTCTGAATATTGAAGTTTCTCCGTCACCGAGCCCAGAATGTCCTGCACAGATGCTGAAAGGCGGCTGCGTATGGTCACATAAGAGTGGTCAGGCATGTATACGCGGCAGAAGACTGGACGGAAACAGGAAAATGGCTTTCAACAGAGGGCAGAGTGCAGAGTGGCAGCAGCTGGTACAGTTTCCTCCAGGGTGTTCCCCACCTCTGAAGAAGGTCCTGTGAAAGGGGCTGGTTCTACCACCCAGGGAGATACCACTGAGGGTGCCCAAGACCCAGAGACATGTCCCCCTGAACCACTCAGGACACCCCGCCCCTCCTAATGCCCACACTCACTCTCATCAGAGCCCCGGAAGGCCACGCGGGTCTGCAGACAGGAGTCTATCCGGCGGAAGTGGCGGAAGAGTGGCTTCACTTGCTTGCTGGGTGGCTGACTCTCCTCTGGAATCCTGGCATGGACACAGCTGGGCATCAGCACGCCCTGCCAGGCATATGGACAACCAACACCAAGCAGGCAACATCAAGCAAGAATATCAGAATTGGGTCAAGGATGTACCAGCAACAGTTTCAGAAGGTGGTTAAGGGGGTCAGAAGAGAGGACAATGAGCAGGATGGGATAATTGTCCAAGTAACCCTAATCAAATGCCACCTTTTCCATGAATTCTTCTCTGGTCCACCCCACCCACCAGGAAGGTCACTTTCTTGTCTCCACTACTATAGAACATTGGGATAATGTTTATGTTCACCTCTTATCTCTTCTATGAGATTGAGAGCTTTTGAGGACTGGGATTTGGTTCCTACTGAATATTTTTTCATCCTCCAGGGCCTAGCACACTGCTTGGCACATGGTAGGTAGCAGGTCATCAGCCATTTGCTGAATTTTGCTGAAAATAACTTCACAGTCTGGGAAGGAGATAGACAGGCATCCAGCTACTTCTAAAGCCAGGCAGGAGGCGTTGATGATGTAACAAAGGTACCAGGAGAGTTCTGCTGGTGTGGGGGAAGGAGAAAGCTATTCCTAAAAGGAAGATCTAGGAAGTTTTCATCAAGAAGATAGCATTTGACCTGGGCCTTGGAGGAGAGCAGGAAGAGAAGGAGGTGGAGGCCAGGTGCAGTGGCTCACGCCTATAATCCCAGCACTTTGGGAGGGATTGGGAGGCCGAGGTGGGCAGATCACTTGAGGCCAGGAGTTCAAGACCAGCCTGGCCAACATGGTGAAACCCTGTCTCTACTAAAAATATATAAATTAGCCAGGGCTTGGTGGTGTGAACCTGTAATCCCAGCTACTTGGGAGGCTGAGGCAGAAGAATCGCTTGAACTCGGGAGGCGGAGGTTGCAGTGAGCCGAGATCACACCATTGCACTCCAGCCTGGTGACAGAGCAAGACTCCATCTCAAAAAAAGAAAAAAAAAATGTCTGGGTGCAGAGGCTCACACCTGTAATCCCAGCACTTTGGGAGGCCAAGGCGGGTGGATCATGAGGTCAGGAGATCTAGACCATCCTGGCTAACACGGTGAAACCCCATCTCTACTAAAAAAAAAAATACAAAAAATTAGCCGGGCATGGGGGCCGGCGCCGTAGTCCCAGCTACTCAGGTGGTTGAGGCAGAAGAATGGTGTGAACCCAGGAGGCGGAGCTTGCAGTGAGCCGAGATTGCGCCACTGCACTCCAGGCTGGCCGACAGAGTAAGACTCCATCTCAGGAAAAAAAAAAAAAAGAAAGAGAAGGGGGTGGGAGGAGGGCATTCTGGCATTCTGGAATGGACAATATAACGGACCGTGGGAAGTTGGAGAGTGCAGGAGTTGAGGTGTTATGGATGGATGGGATGCAGATGAGATGGGAAGGAACAGCAGAAGGCAGAAAGGGAAGGGTATCCAATGCTGGGATGTTTCACTTTCTCTTGGAAGCATGGGGAGCAGGGATGCCTTTGGAACAGGAGCATGAAAGATCTCTCTAGTGTCAAGCACAGAGAAGGGAGAGAAGGATGCTAGACCACAAGCTGAGGCCTCCCTAATTGTGCTGGGGACAGAGAAGAGAGAAACTAAAAGGGCAGAATGGATTGATGGATGGATGGATGGATGGATGGATGGATGGATGGATGGATGGATGCAGTGGTGTCCTGAAGCTGGTTCACACTGGCTCACAAGAACATATTGTTAAGTTCTGGGGAATTTTGCCAACTGTTTTTTAAGGAGCCATTAAAATATAAATAAATAAATATATCTCCATATATAAATATATATGTTTTAAACTTATAGTCAGGCCAGGTATGGTGGCTCACACTTAGAATCCCAACACTTTGGAAGGCCGAGGTGGGAGGATTGCTGGAGCCCAGCCTGGACAACATAATGAAACCCTGTCTCTATTGAAAAATAATAATACAAATTAATAAATCATACATAAAATTTGTAATCAAATAAGTTATTATAAAAAAAGTAGTTTCCTTCCTGTTTCACTTTTTTTTTTTTTTTTTTGAGATGGAGTCTCGCTCTGTCATCAGGCTGGCGTGCAGTGCCACAATCTCGGCTCACTCCTGGGTTCAAGTGATTCTCCTGCCTCAGCCTCCCAAGTAGCTGGGACTACAGGCGCATGCCACCATACCCAGCTAATTTTTGTATTTTTAGTAGAGACGGGGTTTCACCATGTTGGCCAGAATGGTCTTGATCTCTTGACTTCGTAATCTGCTCACCTCGGCCTCCCAAAGTGCTGGGATTACAGGGGTGAACCACCACACCCAGCCCACCCTTTTTTTTTTTTTTTTCTTGAGACGGAGTCCACTCTGTCACCCAGGTTGGAGTGCAGTGACGCAATCTCAGCTCACTGCAACCTCTGCCTCCCGGGTTCAAGACATTCTCCTGCCTCAGCCTCCTGAGTAGCTGGGACTACAGGCACATGCCACAGTGCCCGGCGAATTTTTCTATTTTTAGTAGAGACGGGGTTTCACCATGTTGGTCAGGCTGGTCTCAAACTCCTGACCTCATGATTCGCCCATCTCGGCCTCCCAAAGTGCTGGGATTACAGGCGTGAGCCACCACACCTGGCATTTTTTTTTTTTTTTTTTTTAGAGATGGAGTCTTGCTCTGTCACCCAGGCTTGAGTGCAGTAAGGTGATCTCAGCTCACTGCAACCTCCGCCTCCTGGGTTCAAGCAATTCTTCTGCCTCAGCCTCCCGAGTAGCTGGGACTACAGGCGCGTGCTACCATGCCTGGCTAATTTTTGTATTTTCAGTAGAGACGGGGTTTCACCATATTGGCCGGGCTGCTCTGAAACTCCTGACCTCGTGTTCTGCCCGCCTCGGCGCCCGGCCCTATTTTTTTTTTTTTTTTTTTTTTTCTGTAGTGAAGACAGGGTTTCACCATGTTAGCCAGGCTGGTCTTGAACCTTAAGTGATCCACCCGCCTTGGCCTCCCAAAGTGCTGGGAGGCGTGAGCCACCTTGCCCAGCCGTTTCACTACCTTTTACTGCATCTACTATATGGTGGAGATACTACATAATGGCCTGTGCTGCACGTCTCTTCCCAGCTCCTCCTTCAGTGCTGTCACGTTGGTAGCTTGAAATCAGCCATGGTGACAGAGTTTACACTGTAGGAATCAGCAAAAGCTACAAATCAGGGTTCTTTCTCCTGCAGCACTGATTGTTAAATATTTACCATTACACCACTAGATTATCAGACAAATGAATGGGAGAATGGACAAAAAAGTGACTGGAGACAGTGCTTTGTGCCACCCTCCTGTGAGAGAAAAGAGCTGAAATAAAACCATACTGGAAGCGGGGCACAGTGGCTCATACCGGTAATCCCAGCACTTTGGGAGGCTGAGGCGGGCAGATCACTTGAGGCCAGGAGTTCGAGACCAGCCTGGCCAACATGATGAAACTCATTCTACAAAAAGTACAAAAATTAGCCAGGCAGGGTGCACCCCTGTAATCCCAGCTACTCAGGAGGCTGAGGCATGAGAATCACTGGAACCCAGGAGGTAGAGGTTGCAGTGAGCCTAGATTGTGCCACTGCTCTTCAGTCTGGGCAACAGAGTGAGACTCTGTCTCAAAACAAACAAACAAGCAAATCCATATTGGAGCCAATAGGCCAGAGGCAGCCCCTGTAGTAGAGGAACGCAGGGAACCTCTTTCCTGTTCCCACCCCTGCCCCACTCCCCCTCACTTTAGTTCCACCGTCTCCACCAGCTGGTGCAGCCTCAGAGTGTCCTCTCGGAGGCCCTGGTAAAGGGACTCGTCCTTCATAATTAGCAGGTATAGATCCTGGAGAGAGGAGGACAAAGAAGGTGAAGGAAGGGGTCTCATCCCAAGGGCTACTCTCTGCAGGGGCCGGGCAAGGTCTCCATGCCTTTGAGCACAGCAGAGCCATATAAGCTAAAGCCCCCTGACATCTCTTCCTTCCAGGAACCCAGCATAAGCAGTACGGCTCCTTCACAGGGGCCCCCTTCCAGAGCTAATAGCCTGTTTACCCACCTTCTCTTCCCCCAGGCCCACCTTGATGATGTGGCCGGCCCCCTCTTCCTCTTGAAGCAGCCCCTGGTAGGTGTCCAAGAAATGGAGAAGCATGGCTAGACAGGCCTGCTTCCGGCCCAACCCCTCAGGGCCCTCCATGCCTCCTGCCCGAACAAAGCTGACCCTTAAGTTAAGAAAAATCCCTAGGCAAACAGACCTGAGGAACTGAGAAGCAAGATGGGAGGCTAGGCTGGGTGCAGTGGCTCACGCCTATAATCCCAGCAGTTTGGGAGGCCGAGGCAGGCAGATCACCTGAGGTCAGGAGTTCGAGACTGGTCTGGCCAACATGGTGAAACCATGACTCTACTAAAAATACAAAAATTTGCCTGGCATGGTGGTGGGTGCCTGTAATCCCAGCTACTCCAGAGGCTGAGGCACAAGAATCGCTTGAACCCGGTAGGCAGAGGTTGCAGTGAGTCGAGATAGGGCCATTGCACTCCAGCCTGGGTGACAGAGGGAGACTCTGTGTCAAAAAAAAAAAAAAAAAAAAAAGGAAAAAAGCCCAGACGCGGT